CCCGCACTGACGAACACAAGGCCCCCGAAGACCCCGGAGCAGCAAAGCCACCAGCTGTATCCGTTGAGTGATCTCTTTCCTGTTGTTTATGTGGACACTCAGATCTTTTGTGTCCAACATCTCCACACTCAAAACACTTCATGTGTCCCGAGCTGGCATACACCATGTAAAAACCATCTCCATGTTTTACTCTGAATGACACCTCTAGGGTCTGTGTGGGTGATTCCAGGAACATAAACAAAGAAGTACACCCGCATCACGACATGCCCACATCACTAAACAGCATCTCCACATCAGGACACGCCCACATCACTAAAAGGCACACCCACATCACAACACCCCTACATCACTACAAGTCACAACCATATCGCAGCACCCCTACATCACTACAAGGCACAACCATATCACAACACCCCCACATCACTACAGGGCACACCCACATCACAACACGCCCACGTCAATACAAAGCACATCCTCATCAAGACAAGCCCACATCACTAAACAGCACCCCACATCTGGACACGCCCACATCACTACATTGCACACCAAATCAAGACTACCCACATAACTATTAGGCAAACCCACATCATGACACACCCACATCAGGACACGCCCACATCACTAAATGGCACACCAAATCACGACTACCCATATAACTATTAGGCAAACCCACATCATGACACGCCCACATCACTACAAGGCACACCCACATCACGACATGCCCACATCACTACAAGGCACACCCACATCACGACATGCCCACATCACTACAAGGCGCACCCACATCACGACATGCCCACATCACTACAAGGCGCACCCACATCACGACATGCCCACATCACTACAAGGCACACCCACATCACAACAGGTCCACATCACTACAAGGCACACCCACATAACGACATGCCCACATCACTACAAGGAACACCCACATCACAACAGGTCCACATCAGTACAAGGCACACCCACATAACGACATGCCCACATCACTACAAGGCACACCCACATCACAACAGGTCCACATCACTACAAGGCACACCCACATAACGACATGCCCACATCATTACAAGGAACACCCACATCACGACAGGCCCACATCACTACAAGGCACACCCACATCACGACATGCCCACATCACTACAAGGCACACCCACATCACGACAGGCCCACATCACTACAAGGCACACCCACATCACGACATGCCCACATCACTACAAGGCACACCCACATCACGACATGCCCACATCACTACAAGGAACACCCACATCACGACAGGCCCACATCACTACAAGGCACACCCACATCACGACATGCCCACATCACTACAAGGCACACCCACATCACGACAGGCCCACATCACTACAAGGCACACCCACATCACAACATGCCCACATCACTACAAGGCACACCCACATCACGACATGCCCACATCACTACAAGGCACACCCACATCACTACAAGGCACACCCACATCACGACATGCCCACATCACTACAAGGCACACCCACATCACGACAGGCCCACATCACTACAAGGCACACCCACATCACGACAGGCCCACATCACTACAAGGCACACCCACATCACGACATGCCCACATCACTACAAGGCACACCCACATCATGACAAGCCCAAATCACTAAGGCACACCCACATCACAACACACCCACATCATGACATGCCCACATCACTACAAGGCACACCCACATCACGACATGCCCACATCACTACAAGGCACACCCACATCACGACATGCCAACATCACTACAAGGCACACCCACATCACGACAGGCCCACATCACTACAAGGCACACCCACATCACGACAGGCCCAAATCACTATAAGGCACACCCACATCACAACACACCCACATCATGACATGCCCACATCACTACAAGGCACACCCACATCACAACACACCCACATCACAACAGGCCCACATCACTACAAGGCACACCCACATCACAACACACCCACATCACAACATGCCTACATCATTACAAGGCACACCCACATCACGACAGGCCCACATCACTACATGGCACACCTACATCACGACATGCCCACATCACTACAAGGCACACCCACATCACGACTTGCCCACATCACTACAAGGCACACCCACATCACGACATGCCCACATCACTACAAGGCACACCCACATCACGACATGCCCACATCACTACAAGGCACCCCACATCACGACATTCCCACATCACTACAAGGCACACCCATATCACGACATGCCCACATCACTACAAGGCACACCCACATCACGACAGGCCCACATCACTACAAGGCACACCCACAGCACAACACACCCACATCACGACAGGACCAAATCACTATAAGGCACACCCACATCACAACACACCCACATCACGACATGCCCACATCACGACATGCCCACATCACTACAAGGCACACCCACATCACGACATGCCCACATCACTACAAGGCACACCCACATCACGACATGCCCACATCACTACAAGGCACACCCACATCACGACATGCCCACATCACTACAAGGCACACCCACATCACGACAGGCCCACATCACTACAAGGCACACCCACATCACGACATGCCCACATCACGACATGCCCACATCACTACAAGGCACACCCACATCACGACATGCCCACATCACTACAAGGCACACCCACATCACGACAGGCCCACATCACTACAAGGCACACCCACATCACAACATGCCCACATCACTACAAGGCACACCCACATCACGACATGCCCACATCACTACAAGGCACACCCACATCACGACATGCCCACATCACTACAAGGCACACCCACATCACGACATGCTCACATCACTACAAGGCACACCCACATCACGACAGGCCCACATCACTACAAGGCACACCCACATCACGACATGCCCACATCACTAAATAGCACACCAAATCAAGACTACCCACATAATTATTAGGCAAACCCACATCATGACACACCCTCATCAGCACACGCCCACATCACTACATGGCACACCAAATCATTGATACCCACATAACTATTAGGCAAACCCACATCATGACACGCCCAAATAACTATATGGCACACCCACATCGCTACAAGGCACACCCACATAACGACAGGCCCACATCACTACAAGGCATACCCACATCACGACATGTCCACATCACCACAAGGCACACCCACATCACGACATGCCCACATCACTACAAGGCACACCCACATCACGACAGGCCCACATCACTACAAGGCACACCCACATCACGACAGGCGCACATCACTACAAGGCACACCCACATCATGACAAGCCCAAATCACTATAAGGCACACCCACATCCCAAAACCCCCACATCACTACAGGGCACACCCACATTACGACACGCCCACGTCAATACAAAGCACATCCTCATCATGACAAGCCCACATCACTAAACAGAACCCCACATCAGGACACGCCCACATCACTACATAGCACACCAAATCATGACTAACCACATAACTATTAGGCAAACCCACATCACGACATGCCCACATGACTTCAAGGCACACCCACATCACGACATGCCCACATCACTACAAGGCACACCCATATCATGACATGCCCACATCACTACAAGGCACACCCACATCACAACATGCCCACATCACTACAAGCCACACCCACATCACAACATGCCCACATCACTACAAGGCACACCCACATCACAACACACCCACATCATCACAGGCCCAAATAACTATAAGGCACACTCACATCATGACATGCCCACATCACTATAAGGCACACCCACATCACTACAAGGCACACCCACATCACGGCTTGCCCACATCACTACAAGGAACACCCACATCACGACATGCCCACATCACTACAAGGCACACCCACATCACGACAGGCCCACATCACTACAAGGCACACCCACATCACGATATGCCCACATCACTACAAGGCACACCCACATCACTACAAGGCACACCCACATCACGACAGGCCCACATCACGACATGCCCACATCACTACAAGGCACACCCACATCACGACATGCCCACATCACTACAAGGCACACCCACATCACGACAGGCCCTCATCACTACACAGCACGCCCATGTCACTACACCGCACACCAACATCACGACATGCCCACGTCACTACACCACACACCCACATAACTACACAGCCCATGTCACTACACGTTATGCCCACATTACTTCATTACATGCCTACATCACTACATGACAGGCCAACATCGCTACACAGCATTACATCACTACACTTAAGCCCACATTCCTTTGACAGGCCCACCTCTTTTCACGGCAGGCCAACAACACTATACAACAGACCACATCACTACACTTAAGCCCATATTCCTAAGACACGCCCACGCCACTACACAGCATTACATCACTACATGCATGCCCACGACACTACACGGCAGGCCCACATCACTACAAGGCACACCCACATCACAACACACCCACATCACGACATGTCCACATCACTACAAGGCACACCCACATTTAGACAGACCCACATCACTACAAGGCACACCCACATTTAGACAGACCCACATCACTACAAGGCACACCCACATCACGACAGGCCCACATCACTACAAGGCACACCCACATCACGACAGGCCCACATCACTACAAGGCACACCCACATCACTACAAGGCATATTCCTAAGACACGCCCACGACACTACACGGCAGGCCCATGTCACTACAAAATTTTTGAGAGAAATATAGCTTGGCTTCCTGCTCATTGGAGGAACCTCCTAACAAGGTGTCTGGTCGGCCCAGCTCTGGAGAGAACTGCATCATTTAGCTCTTAGCAGCTGAATCTCTCAGCACGTCCTACAGGATCTCTCTGACATCAGCAGCGTCTTCCTAAACCTGAAGGACATCCTCTGACTACTCCTGTCCTCCTCTGGAGTTAAAGATACCCTAAGGATCATTTAGATTTCAATGCTTAAAGCTGCTCTCCGTGTCTCGTCTTTCAGCATGGACTGTTGGCCTTCAAGTTCATCCTGACCTTCCTCATCCCAGACGTCCCCAAGCACATCCAGATCAAGCTGGCCCGGCTGGAGTTCGAGTCGCTGGAGGCTCTTAAGAAAAAGGTGAGTTGATTGTTTGAAGCAGATGGTCCAGAAACAGGTTGGAAGGTAAAGTCATTTGAACTCATGTCGCTTTTCAATCAAAAGTCTTCTTCAGTTCTGATCATGGAACAGAACCAGCTGTAGTAAGAACATTTAGAGCTTCTGCTTGCCTGTTCAAGACACTTCCTGCTAGTTTCTACATCATCCACTGGATGTTTTGAAGAGACTGGTTGGAAAAGGTAATACATCAAGTCTGGAGATGGAGTCCATCTAGAAGAACCAGCTGAGTTCTTCAGATCCTGCTTCCAGATTTCAGTATAATGTTCTCTCTTCATATCTGTGGTGTCCATAGACACATCTGGGACATGTGGACATCAGATGGACATCCTCAAATCATTTACACCAACCGAGATCTTGTGCTTCTGTAATATCATCTAAAAGTGTTTCTCTAATCTTCATCTAGAGTGGAGGTCTTCAACAGGGTGTCTGTGACCCCTAGGAGGTCCACAGTGGTCCTGCATGGGGGTCTCAAAAGTTCTGGTTGATTAGACTTTTTTTTTTATATCCCCCCTGCAATTTTTTCCACTAATTGAAATGTCTTTAAATCCACATTAACATGAATCCAACAGACTGTAGTAAACAGATAAATGGAGGCAGAAGATGTCTTTCAGTCATCAATGCTCACATTCAGTGACACACAGGAGCTCTTTCAAGCTGGACACCGTTTCATTCACAACACCTGTCCCATCAACCAGGAATCAGAAATACTTTAATAATCCCAGGGAGGGATTACTTTAGTTACATTACTCCATCTGTAATAGAGTGACTATAGGACCAGTTTGATAGAACACTATTTAATAGAATATCTATAACTAGGGGGTCCCCCGCTCCATCTCACCATCAGTTTGGGGTCCTTCTCCTGGAAAACGTTGAAGAGCCCTTCTCTTGAGGTGTTTCTCTAATCTTCCTCTGGCGGTGTTTCGAGTCATTGGGACACCAACAGTAACCCTGAATGCTTATGAAATGGAAGAAAAATATGGAACTCTGTCTTTAGATCATTAGAACCAGGGTCCAGCTGGTTTAGTTCTGGTTCTGAAGTTCTTCAGACCATCTTCTGCAGCGGTTTGCTCCTCTTGGGTTGGGCTCTTCACCATTAACCATGATTGTAATTCTGGGCCATTGATCATTTTATCACATTTTCTGTTTATTAAGATTCAATTTTGGATAATTTAAATTTTTTCTTTCCACCAATGAGCTTTTTGTACCTCTATAGATGACATCACAGGGTGACATCAGTTTCTGTCCTTAGATGATAAACCAGCTGTTAGCTGTCAGTTTTATCCTCATTGCTGAGGAACATGATTGTTTTTCCTTTGAACTGACGTTTCCCCCCAGAGCTGATGATTAAAATCAAGCAATAAATGTCATTGGACATTTTTATTATGAACTGTGAGCGATTTGCACAAACCAGCCAGAAAACCACAGAAAATGTATTTATTTCAAAAAGTGTTCAAAAAAGCTAAACTGGGCCCAAAAACAGATCCAAAAGAAACTAGCAACTCAAAGAAAAAAATCTAACAACTTGACAAAGTTAACTAAATGTGTGCAATGCAGAAAGCTAACTTAAAGTCAGGATAATGAAAATATTTGAAACTCATTTTGATAATGCAAAATATAAAAGTTAGCACACAGCTTCAGCGTGTGACAGCGGCTGTCACACAAACCTTAAGTGAGAAAAAATGTAATTAAACGGATTTGATGTGAAAATAAAATCAGATAATTTTGAAGCCATGTTTCAGAGACCTGCTGTTTAAACTCAGTCAATGGAAACGTTTCCTGTTTGTTTCAGAAAATGCTGGAAGGTTCCGAGCTGAAGAAGGACTTCCTGTGAGGAAGAGGAGGACCTGCAGACTCTGATGGTTGCAGCGTTACACTGAGGCTCCTGTCTGTGTTTTAAAAATCAAAGCTATGTGGTTTTTAGGGTTTGTTGCTTTTCTGGTTGGTGGTGAGAGGAGCAGCAAGGAGGAAGAGTCTCATCCACTGAACTGGGTTCTGTGGGACTGGTGTACTGGGTTAAATGGGATGAATGAGCTTCTGTTCAAAGCTTTTGCAGATGTAACTGCGAACATATTTTTTGTACCAAAGAGTGTTGATGAAAATCACTATTTATGTCTCATTTTCTCTCCTTTGGGTTGGGTGCCTATCTTGGTTCTGAATGGTTTAGAATAAAGGGGCTGAAAGGATGGGAGGTGGTGCTGTACCTCCAGGCTCCACCTGATTGGCTGCCTGATTGACCAACAGCATCAGGGCTGATCGGACCTTAGCTGAACCCTCAGTCCCCAGAAGTTCAAGGACAGAATGGGGAAAAAGATCCAAAGGCAAAAGTGGAGCTTATTTGGAGATCTGAACTAAACCGAACTTTGCAGCTTTGGGACGGATTCTGACTCGTCCATACTGGCCGTCACATCGGACCAGTCAGCAGATGGTTTCCTTTGCTCCCACCATCACAGTAGTCCATGTCCAGAGTAGAGAACATGACATGATGTCTAAAGTGCCTTCACTTTCTGCTGTTAAACTTTGCAAAACTGCATCTTGGACTGGATCTGCTTTGCTTCAATAAACCAACACAGAACCTCAACCTGGGTCATTTTTTTTCCTGATCTTCCTGCACCAAACAGAACTTCTACCCCATTCGAACACAGACTTTCCTGTTGGACCAGAACCAAGTGCTGTGAGGACGAAGAAGGTGATGAATGCTTCCCACCAATAAATAGACACCAGTGTTTTGTAGTAAGTGCTGTTGTAACCAGTGTTGGGCAAGCTAATGTCCAGTGTAGTGAGCTAAGCTATCAGTTACTCAACAATAAATTAAGCTCCACTACACCAAAGCTACCACCTAAAGAATTATAGCAAGCTAAGTTACACTAATGTGTTAAAAGTAGATTAACTACATCAGAAGCTACTTAAAGTCGAACCAAGCTAATGTCAATTCAAAATGAGTCTGATACACTGGTTAAAATATTTATTAAAGATCAGCCAATGACATAACACAGTGTAAACATTGCTTTATGATCAGCATATTAAAATAAAAACTAAAGTAATTACTAGTAGACAAACTAGTAAACAATCTGCTGCTATTAGAACCAAATGAAAGGTACTGTGTAGTGTTCTACACATGGAGACATGGCTATGAGTTTGCATTCAATGGACATCTCTAGGGAAAACAAAACCCTACAAAAGACATCTTATTTTTTTAGGGTCTCCCTTAGAGAAAACTTCTTCAGACCTCAATTAAACAGTCGATTCAAGCAACAAATGAAACTGTTTACAAAAGAAGGTGAAAAAATAAGAGAGCTAATTAAGAGATACATATATTTGTGTCTCACTGTATAATTTAATTTCTACCTACATATTTATTCATTGTATTTTGGGGGGTAATTAATTGAATGCTTATTTATTTATTTATGTATTTATTTTATATACAGTAGAGCTGTCCCTCCATAAATAAAAAATCTTATCTGTTCAAATAAGCAATAAGTAATGTTTAAATAAGGCCATGAAAATACAATATCTAAGTTTGGCTACTGCTCTCTAATGAGAATATCTTAGTGGCACTCATCAGACTGAACTATCTGGAAATTAAAGGCGCCAATAAAGTTAAAGCTGATATATTTTTCTCATTTTTATTTCAAAAAATTGACTGCAGTTGCTTGTTTTAATGAGTGTTTGGTTATGTAAAACAAATGACTAGTCTTGGCCACATGAGCTCTCTATGGCCAAGAACCGAAATTTGATCACATACTTTTTATCAGAAGATTCAACAAGTTTCATAATCTCTGAAGATAAGGCGCTCTGCTCCTGTCTCCTTCATCCTGTGTGTGTGTCTCTGCAGGTTCTCCTATGAGCCTGTTCCTGAACCACAGTTGGTGGTCCCCTCTGTTCCTGACCCGGAGCCGCAATCGGCAGGCTTCTCTGTTCCTGATCCGGAGCCGCAATCGGCGGGCTCCTCTGTTCCTGATCCGGAGCCGCAATCGGCGGGCTCCTCTGTTCCTGATCCGGAGCCGCAATCCGGGGGCTCCTCTGTTTCTGATCCAGAGCCGCAATCGGCGGACTCCTTTGTTCCAGTCCAGGAACCGCAGTCGGCGGTCTCCTCAGAGCCTGTTCCAGTCCAGGAACCGCAGTCGGCGGTCTCCTCAGAGCCTGTTCCAGTCCAGGAACCGCAGTCGGCGGTCTCCTCAGAGCCTGTTTCAGTCCAGGAGCTGCAGTCGGCGGTCTCCTCAGAGCCTGTTCCAGTCCAGGAGCCGCAGTCGGCGGTCTCCTCAGAGCCTGTTCCAGTCCAGGAGCCGCAGTCGGCGGTCTCATCAGAGCCTGTTCCAGTCCAGGAGCCGCAGTCGGCGGTCTCCTCAGAGCCTGTTCCAGTCCAGGAGCCGCAGTCGGCGGTCTCCTCAGAGCCTGTTCCAGAGCCGCAGTCTGCGGTCACCTCTGAGTCTGTTCCAGAGCCGCTGAAGAGGGGACGGGGTACCCCATGGGGCTACCCACTGGAATTGGGGCGTCATCCTCCTGAGAAGTTGCTTCACCTCCGGCCCCACGGTCGACCTCCTGATCGTCAGCTTCGCCTCCGGACCCGCGGCCGGCCCCCAGAGCGTCAGCTTCACCTTCGGCCCCGTGGCAGACCCCCAGAGCGTCAGTTTCGCCTTCGACCCCGCAGCCGGCCATCTAAGACTCTGCTCCGTTGCCGGACCCTCGGCCGGCCTCCAGAACCTCTGCCATGCTTCCGGCCCGGCGGTGGTCCCCCTAAGACGCTGCTTCATCTCCAGCCCCGCGTTGGTCCCCCTAAGACGCTGCTTCGTCTCCAGCCCTGCGGTAGGCCTCCGGAGCGTCAGCCTCGCCTTCCGCCCCGCGGTCGCCCCCCTGAGCATCTGTCTCGTCTCCGGTCCAACTGCAGGCCACCTAAACTTCTGCCACGTCTTCGAACCTGGCAGACGGATAGATTGGTTAGCCAGGTTAACAGATGATTTGTTGAGTTTCTGATGTTTCTTAGAATACCTGAAGGGGTCCAGGTTTTCTTGTCTGAGAGAGGGAACCGGTTGGGTCCAGAGACTGTTGGTTCAGCAGAGTGCTCAGCAGCAGCAGCGTCTAGCTTCTGACTTTGAAAGGCAGACCTTGATCAGAGTTTCCAGCTCTTCTCTGAGAGCAGCTGGAGGAATCCAGACTGGAATTTTCAGGTTTGGCTCACCAGGGCTGGAAGGCAGGTTAAGCTCATCCAGAGCTTCAGACTTGAGACAGGTTTCCTGTGAGCAAAGACAGAGGTGGATTAGAATCAGTTTCTCACTTGAGATGACTAAGATTCTTTCTGGAAACAGAGGCTCAGGTTGCTAACCAAACTAAGGTCAACACTGCGGCGTTGAAGGAAGGTTGGCAGCTGCTTAAATAGGCTGGTCTCCTGATGGGCTGATGAACGTCAGCTGTGCTGGAGGGCTCCAGCCCAGGAGATCCACAGCGCACCCTGCTGGAGACAGGTGTCAGATCTCCAGATCCCAACAATTTTTGCAATATTCCTCAGATGAAAGAAGGAAATTCTAGAAATCTCTTTGATCTGGGATTTAAATGACAGGTCCTGATCAAAAACAACACCAAGATTTTTTACTTTATTATCTGAAATCAGTTTAATCCCATCCAAATGAAGTGACTGGCTAATCAGCTTCTTTTTCAGAGACTCTGGTCCAAAGACTATAACTTCTGTTTTGTCTGCATTCAGAAGCAGAAAGTTAAGAGTCATCCAGGTTTTTCTGTCTTCAGACATGCTTGTAATCTATGTAATGGGTTAGCTTCATCTGGATTATAGACAGATATAGCTGGGTATCATCAGCATAACAGTGGAAATTAATCCCATGCTGTCTAATAATTCTACCAATTGGGAGCATGTATAAAGTGAAGAGAATTGGTCCTAGCACTGATCCCTGTGGTACTCCACAGGTAACCTTTGAGCATGTGGAAGATCTATCATTAACATGAACAAACTGAATTCGATCAGATAGATCAGATTTAAACCAGTCTAGTGCTGTTCCTTTAATTCCAACAAAATATTCAAGTCTTTCTAAAAGAATATTATGGTCAACTGGATCAAATGCAGCACTAAGATCCAACAGGACGAGCACAGATACAAGTCCATTATCTGAGGCCATGAGAATATCATTAGTGACTTTCACCAGAGCTGTTTCAGTGCTATGATGAGCTCTAAAGCCAGACTGAAACTCTTCAAAAAGTTCATTATGGTGGAAGTGATCGCAAACTTGTTTGGCAACTACTTTCTCAAGAATTTTAGATAAGAAAGGAAGATTGGATATAGGTCTATAATTGACCAAGTCATCTGGGTCAAGAGACGGTTTCTTAAGCAGAGGTTTAATTCCAGCAACCTTAAAAGCCTTTGGTTCATATCCCTGTAACAGAGATAGATTAATCACATCTAAAATCGAGGAGGAGATCAAAGGGAATACCTCCTTAAATAACCTGGTTGGAACTGGATCTAACATCCAAGTTGAAGGCTTAGATGAAGATAGTAGTTTTGCTAATTCTGAAAGTTCAACTGGATCAAAGCAGTCTAAACCCGGTTCAGATTCCATGACTACCTCAGATTCTGCCCCACCCTCCAGAGACAAACCAATCACGGATAGAGCAGTGCTAATGATCTTATGTTTATTCTCTCCAGTTTCCTAGCATTTTGCTTCAAAGTGCGCAGCTCTGCATTAAACCAAGGAGCAAGCTTTCTATTTTTAACGGTTTACATTTTCAAAGGAGCTGCGTTGTCTAAAGCAGAACGCTAATCCTTTTTTTTCTCCACCAATCTAAGCTGAACTTTTTCTCCTTCATCTCGTTAATGCATATGGCGTTGCCTTGCTGAGCACTGTCTCTGCAGTTTATTAACAGGTCTCCATTACACAGCATTTTGGCACTTTGGACTTCTCCAAGTTTTTCTTAACAATTTTGTTAACTGCACCGGATTCCAATCTGCAAAACAGTCTCCCTGATTAACTAGTTTGATTATTTCCTTCGTAATCTTCATTTTGTTGGGAATTTTGTGGAATTTCTAGATTTTTCTTCACTTGATGCATGATTCCCCTTCAACTGATCTCTGTTTTTTCACTTTTTCTATTTTTTTGACTCTACTCTCTTGCAGTCTTCTTCGTTTTCACAATTTCCTTCTTCCATGCGACAAGAATCGCTTCCTGTTTCCTCACTACTCACGACCCAGAACATTTCTCCGCAGCAAACTCCTGGGATCCAACCATGACTGTCAAGATTCAGAAGAGAAGGACCCAGTGTTTAGGAATGATTGTTTTGAAATATATAAATGTATTTTTTAGATGTACAAGGTAAATATTTAATCTTTAAAAGCTGTCCATGCACAGTAGCTGCTCTGCAATACAGAAGTATAGGACGGCCCATATATTGGGTGCCCTCTTTTTTCCCCGACTGTCCTACTGTTCATACCTAAAAAAATGTGTGGGGGTAATTTCAAAATCATTTGGGATTTCGCTTGACTACAGTGCAGCATGTAGTCGAAACACACCGTGCACTTGAACTGAGCCGTCAGCGCTGGAGCAGGTCAGGAAAGCCTGGCGGACAGGGGCAGGGAGC